CACGTTCACATATGTTGTTGAACGTGTACTTGGCTTGAGGCACTATTGTGCCTCCGGATTTCTAATGACATCTTAGTGAATATTCTAAATAATATTTTAAATAATATCCCAAATAATATTCCGAGTAAATTCTAATAAATAAATTTCCATATAATAATTAAGTAAATTCTACGACGTAATACTTAATCTAATGATTGTGACCGAACGCGAAATGGCGATGACCTTCAGCCGACTCCAATGCCTGGCTGATGCCGTACCACCGAGAGATTATTGAGACATAGTATTTGTACCTGGAGTTTTTATAATAATTTTAATTGCTCACTCCTCTGATGAACTGCGAGCTCCTCGTCTCGATACTGGTACAAAGATCTCCTCTGTGAGCTACTTGAATTGGCGGCAAAAACCTGGTCACCGCGTCGTGTCACGTACTCCCCGGCAATTATTCTCCTGTAACAGCAAATCGGCATTAATATTTATTACACATTAAAATTAACTAATGCAAGCTGGCAGAACGGCCTAGCAAGCACTAATTAATAAAATTTTATCTCTTCGTTCCACAAAGTCGAGAAAAATAAAATAATTACCTGGGATAGATCTTAAGTAAATTTTGCGTGTCTATTCGGCTGGACTGTTCGGTCACAATGAATCTTCCGAATTTTGTCGGTGCGTTTCTTTCTTCCTCTGCTCTCTCCACTCTCACTGCCGACACCTCCACCTTGGGGACTCACTCACAAGTGTCAAACTATGACTACGAGGGCTTCAGATCACAGCGCTCTGTGATCCGTCGATAACATAATGGGTGCGGATAAAAGGGCTTTTAACGGGTAACGATCACTCCATTACAACCCTACATTTGTATTTTCATCGTATTAGTATACATAAAAGCATGGTATTGTGCGCCTTCAGCAATCCAAGCTCCTCGACAGGATTTAGAATTTATGAAAGATTTACTGAATTATAAAAAAATAAATAAAAATATTTCAGAAGTAGCGTCAAAAAAATTCAGCAATCACTTGTGGTATTTATCTGAACAACTTATTTGTTTGTCATTATTTGATAATAATGTTAGCGCAGAAATCTAATTAAAATTAATTGAATCGATTCAGAAAAGAAAAAGTCAAATTAAAAACTTTAAACGATTTAATGTAAAAAATGTTAATATTAATTCCTTACTAAACAAAGAATTGTATGACTTTGCATCAGAAGACACGTTGATTATTATTAAAAGGTTGGAATTCCCCACTGATTTTTTAAATTTACATCCTGATCAGTGGATATCTAACAAAAGTTACAATACATGCCTAAAAATTTTAAAAAATTTACACATTGTTAATGATACTGCGGAACGGGCGGTCCAACTGATTGAAGCCTACAATAAAAGCTTAACTGCTGATGAAGAGCAGAAACAGTACTTATTGCAAGTTGTAGCTATGCACAGGAAAAAATTTCCAAATGCTAACAAGCAGACGTTAATGTTACCATTTTTAGATAAATGAAAAAATGAAATTTTTTGTAACTATACCGATTAATTAATAATAATTTGACTTAGATTATTATATTGAAACGGGTCAATACTTAAATTAAAAATTTTAATGCTCAAAAATGTACAATAAAATTAAATTATTCATGTAAGAGTAAATAAATTGAAAATTAAATAGAATTTAATGTGTATTTTTTTAAATGTTACCGTTTAACGGACTGTAACTTCGAAACTAGTGGTTCTACAGTCTTCGACCAAAGACATTTTCGTAGAGAATTTAATTACCTACAAAAGCCATAAGAAGGTTTTTCGAAAAAAAATTTTTTTAATAACGAAAAGTCCACTTGAAAAGAAAAAATTTTTTTCCTGTGTTATTTAAATGGGAAATCGAATTTTTTGATGAGCTAAACCGCTATTGGACTTAAAACCTTTAGCCCAGCGGCATAATTTTTTATTTTCTATATACTACCAGATTTTCTGGTATAGCAGTAAAAAAAAAAATATCGCCTCAAAATGACACACCCTATGTATACATTGTATACATAAATATATTTGTAAAATAGTAGTCGCTAATAACCTTATGTAGTTGATGCGACTTTAAATAAATTAAAATAAAAAAAAATAAAATAAGGACGTGGTATTCACGGGCGCACTGGGCTTGATAACACCACAACTTTGTCAAAAATCACTGTCACGATTTAATTTTTTTTTTGTTTTATTCTTGAGAAATTTTATCAAAACCCTTGTGAAAATTGCGTGTCAAAATAATTCCGTTTCAATACAGTTAATTTTTTTCGACTGTCAGTTCAGTGACTTTTTCTGCGATTTCGGCAGCCATATATATTATTTTTCCTGAACAGAATTGGAATAACTATAAACAAGCAGAAACTATACATACATGATGGTATAATTACTAACTGTTTTATCATCTGTTAAAATTTTTCTTTAGCTCGACCTACAGAGGGGATAATACAACTCGTGAGAAAATTCAAATTAAAAACGAATAATTTTTGTTATGATCTAAATAATTTATGTACGATATGAGCGCTTAAGGCATGCTCATTTGGACTTTCCAAACTTTTTTGCGATTTTGTGCCTCTTTTTGCGAGGCAAACTAATCAAATATTCGGATTTAATGAATCGAAATTCAAAAACATAGTTAGATCTAGTCGAATGTACAAACCAATTTTTTTTTGTGTGCTTGTGAAATTATTTGATCATTCATGACATGACTAAAAAAAATTCATTAGTTAGAACTGGGTCATTCGATGTCAAATCGACCTATAGCTGAAATCGACTCTTTTTGATTTGGATAAATTTTGGTCAGAAGTTTTCTTTTATGACATAACGAAGTTTTGCCGAAAGAAAAAAAAATAAAAAAATTTTTTTCAAAAGATATGCATTTTCAAAATTTCGAGATTTTTCCTGTTTTTTAATTTTGTTTTTGTAATGTCTCGAACGCTTTTATAGATCCAGGAATAGGCTTTCGTTTGTTTAAAAGGGGACACTTGGGGCTATTGAAAAAAAAAATATTTTAGAAAAAAATTTTGAAAAATGCCAAATTTCTCAAATTTTGAACTTTTAAAAATCGTTAAAAATGACGAGCGCTATTAAAATTTTGGCTCAATTTTTTTGTATAATACCTTGTACTGATCTTGGAAGATCCTGAAATTTTTGGAAAAGGTGTTTATTTTTTCAAAAATATGAATTTTGGAATTTAAAAAATAGTATTTTTCTTACCTGGGGCAGGAAAATAAGAAATGTCTCAGATTACATGTAATTGTTGACCGAGGCGAAGCCGAGGTCGACAAACATGTGATCTGAGGCTTTCTTATTTCCTGCCCGTGGTGAGAATACTATTTTTCTCCTTGACGGAGGTGGAAAGTGGCATTTTCGTTTAGCGCAACGAGCAGAAAATTGACGCTTTCCGCACGGAGGGGAGAAAATTTTTTTTTTTTTGCAACTTCTAGAGAAAATAAAATTATGCAGGTATATAATATTGTCATTTTGAGCGTCTAAAAATTAAAATCACGACGTGAAAATATTAAATAATAAATTAATTTCAACTTTTTTTTATTTTTTGGACTTTTGGTTGACACCACTTATTGTCTTACTAACATGGGAATAATTATTAATTTGAGATTAAGAACCATTAATATGCAGAAATTTGTGAGTAAATGAGTATTCGAAAGAACGAAAAAATTGATATTTTCATCAAATTATTTTTGATTTTTATTACAAATCTATATCTGTTTGAGTTATCAGAGGTTAAAAACTATAATTGAAGTGAAGAAACGGACAAAATATATCATGCGTTACAAAAATAAATTATTATACCATGCGTTAAGCCTGACTTTAAGATTATGTCCAAAAAATGAAAAAAAGTTGAAATTAATTTATTATTTTATATTATTATTTAATATTCTTCCGTCGTGTATTTAATTTTTAAATGCTCAAAATTAGAATATTATGTATCTGCATAACTTTATTTTATTTAGAAGTTGCAAAAAACAAAAATTTTTTTTTAATTCAAAAATTTATATTTTTAAAAAATAAAAACACCTTTCCAAAAATTTCAGGATCTTTTAAGACCACTACAAGGTATTCTAAAGAAAAAAATTGAACCAATATTTTAATAGTGCTCGTCATTTTTTACGATTTTCAAAAGTTCGAAATTTGGAGAGGCTGGCAACGACCTGGTCGGCTCGGTGCTCACTTTTCGAAAGAGTGGGACCCGGGTTCGATGCCAGCACGCACCAATATTTTTCAGTGATTATAATTAAAAATATGTGCGTTACGTTACGTTGCCAGCCTCTGGAAGTGGCAGAGATAGCCGGGCGGCACACGTCTGACTTGGGCGATCACACATTTAAGCAACAACTTGAATGGGTGACCACTCTAGTCAACGATGGCTAGCGCGAGGGATCTCTGCACACTAGGAGAGGGGCCTAATGCTCCAGTGGTCGATAAAGAAGAGTTTCTTATCAATCACTGTAGACTTAGCCCAGCTCCGACTGTACTATCATGGGTTTTCTCTGTGGTTTCCCCATGATTCTGTTCCAACAGCCTGAGAAGGTGAGGTTCAGGGTGAATACGGTCCAGAAAGCACAAGTCGGTCCACAGCCACAATAATAGAGGGAGATATAAAGTGGAGATATGAAGTGGAGATGTAGAATGGAGATAAAGTGGGGATATCAGCCTTGTAAAAACCAGATAACGGTATACAAGTAAAACTCAAAAATAAAAAAATAAAAAGTTCGAAATTTGACAAATATGGCATTTCTCAAAATATTTTTCTTTCAATAGCGCCAAGCGTTCCCTTCTAAACAAACGAAAGCCCATTCCTGTATCTATAATAGCGTTCGAGATATTACAAAAACAAAATTGAAAAACTGGAAAAATTGCGAAATTTTGAATTTGCATATCTTTTGAAAAAAATTTTTTTATATTTTTCTTTTGGCAGAACTTCGTTATATGTTAAAAGAAAACTTCTGACCAAAATTTATCCAAATCGAAAGGGGTCGATTTCAATTATTGGTCGATTTGACATTGAATGACCCAACTTTTATTTTTTTTATACGATTGTCAAAAGTAATTTTCATAGATTTCTTCTGTAAACATTATCATAATGCAAATATAATGGAAAAAACTAACAATGTCATGTTTTTTGTATGTTGATATAGCAAGATAATGAAGAAGAACATATACCGACAACATCTTTCAATTTTTACGATAATAAAGAAGTAGTTGAGCAATTAATGAACAAAAAATACGGAATTTTTCAAATAATTGATCAAGCCTCTCGTCAGTCTGAAGATGTCCAATGTATTGTAAAAAAATTCGAATATTACAAAGGGAATTCACATGTTAAGATCTTAAGTTCTCACGAATTCTCAGTAGCCCATTACACAGGGAAAGTCAACTATGATATAGCAGATATTGTTGAGAGAAATAGAGACTTCGTGTCTCCTGAGATGATAAATACAATGAGACTTTCAACGCTTCATTTAATAAAACAAATGTTTTTCGGCAAGTTATCTCGAACTGGCAATCTTATATCAGAATCAAATCTAGTTGACAATCCAAAAAAAAATGAAATCCACAAAAATTTGATGCCGTTAAAATTGAACGTAAGTCGAACATTTCGTAATGTAACAACTACTTTCTAACACCATGATTTGTAATTTGATTTTCAGAAAAATCGTGTCATTCCCAAAGATCAGTATTCACAAACGAAAAAAATGCGATCATGTACTTCAACATTTCGGAATGTTTGCTTGGAAATCCTAAACAACTTATCGGTTAGCCAAAAAAATATTGGCATACATTTTATCCGCTGTATTCGAGCTGATTTGAAAAAAGAACCTTGGGGTTTCAATGAGTATATAGTGAAGCAACAAGTTAAAGCACTTGGAGTTATAGAAACGGCGTGCACTAGACAAGAAGGCTATGCTTATCGAATTCCATTCCAGGAATTTCTTAGAAGGTACGTAATATCGTCGAGTTTGAGTTATATCAATTCCTGTTATTTTTCCGGCTGAGGTTATTTAGTCCGTTGTTTATTTACCCACTATATTTTACAGAATGAATTAAAATTAAACAAAATAATCGGTTTTAGAAGATTTCACAGAAATCTAAATATTGCATTGGTCCTCATGTCGGAACTTTTGACACATTTTTTAACTTTAAACACACCTGTGTGCTAGTGTGTGTGTATTTTTATTGTGTGCGTGTATGTGTGTGTATGCTTATAATAATTTTTTCGTGTGTCCTAGTTTGTGTATGTTGATGGATGTATTATTTTATTGTGTATGTGTGTGTATTAGGGTGTCCGTTATTTCCCAAGTTGATCTTTTTTCGCTGCCACCCCCTGGAATTTGAGTTCTTGACCTAAAAAAAATATCCTATCTAAATAAGCTCTTAATTAAAAAATTAAACCTTGCCCCAATCGAGTTACATTTCCCATTTAAATAACATTGGAATTTGGAACTTTTAGGTGTGAATAAATATACAAGGATAAGCGAAATGTTGGCAGCATTAGGATGGATGAGTGTAAGACAGTTGATGGTATACAGATGCTGTATATTAATACATAAAATGAAAATAGGGCAGGCACCTTCTTATTTGGTGAATAAAATCTCTTTTGTTGGTGAATATCATGATTATAACACTAGACAAAGAAATGAAGTACAAATTAAATTTACAAGAACGCACACCGCAGAAAAGTGCTTAATTTATGGCGG